GACAAAGAGTTGAACACACACTCTGCCAAAAAGACATGCAAATGGCAAACAAGCACATGAAAACATGATCAATATCATTATCATTATGACCATCCAAACTTGAAACCACAACCAGATACTCCTTCACACACACTAGAAAGGCTATAATCCAACAAATGTAAAATAACAAGGGTTGGCAAGGTCGGAGAAAAATCACAACCATTAAATACTGTATGCGGAATATAAAAGGGTGAAGCCTATTTGTAACAGAGTTTGGTATTTCATCAAAAAGTTAAAAATAGGCCGGGCAAGGTAGCTCATACCTGTAATCACACCACTTTGGGAGGCTGAAGCAGGTGGATCACTTGAGTCCAGGAATTCAAGACCAGCCAGGACGACACAGCAAAACCCCATCTCTACTAATACAAAAATTAGCTGGACATGGTGGCACACAGCTGCAGTCCCAGGTACTAGGGAGGCTGAGGTGGGAGGATTGCTTGAGCCCAGAATGTGGAGGTTGCAGTAAGCTGAGATCGCACCACTACACTCCAGCCTGAGCAACAGTGCAAGACCCTGTCTCAAAAAAGAAATAAAAATAAAAAGGGCCAGGTATGATGGCTCATACCTGTAATCCCAGCACTTTGGGTGGCTAAGGCAGAAGGATTACTTGAGGTCAGGAGTTGGAGACCAGCCTGGCCAACATGGCGAAACCTTTTCTCTAGTAAAAATACAAAAATTAGCGCCAGGCTCTGTGGCTCACACCTGTAATCCCAGCACTTTGGGTGGCTGAGGCAGGCAGATCACTTGAGGTTGGGAGTTCGAGAGTAGCCTGACCAACATGGACTAACCCCATCTCTACTAAAAATACAAAATTGGCTGGGCTTGGTGGCGCATGCCTGTAATCTCAGCTACTCGGGAGGCCTAGGCAGGAGAATCGCTTGAACCTGGGAAGCAGAGGTTGCGGTGAGCCGAGATCGCACCATCACACTCTAGCCTTGGCAACAAAAGCAAAATTCTGCCTCCAAAAACAAAATATATATATATACAAAAATTAGCCAGTGTGGTGGCACACACCTGTAATCCCAGCTACTCAGGAGGCTTAGGCAGGAGAATTGCTTGAACCCGGGTGACGGAGGTTGCAGTGAGCCGATATCAGGCCACTTCACTCCAGCCTTGGTGACAGAGCAAGACTCGTCTCAAAAAAAAAAAAGAAGAAAGAAAGAAAAAGAAAATGCATGGGAGGAAATGGTATATCCTGAAATGAGGACTTTCATTCTGGACTAGGGTTTCCAATGAAGGTGTCAGTTTATCCTTCGGTCTCCACAGGCCAAGAATTTGCCATCCAGCAAGAGGCAACAGAGGAAGCCCCCCAAGTCCCATGCCAGAACTATGACATAATTACATTCCATGTCAATACTTAAATATTAATAATTCATCTGCTTAAATATCTACACTTACTTTACCAATTTTCCATTATATTGATGAAGAGGTTTCCAAATTTCATATAGGTTGTCATGATGTGGATAGGACTTTTTGATAGTTAACTATACCGAATGACTATATAAAATATAAGTGTTAAGGCTGGGCGCGGTGGCTCACGCCTGTAATCCCAGCACTTTGGGAGGCCGAGGTGGGCAGATCATGAGGTCAAGGAGATCGAGACCATCCTGGCAAACACAGTGAAAGCCCGTCTCTACTAAAAATACAAAAAAATTAGCCGGACGTGGTGGCGGACGCCTGTAGTTCCAGCTTCTTGGGAGGCTGAGGCAGGAGAATGGCGTGAACCAAGGAGGCGGCAGAGCTTGCAGTGAGTGGAAATCGCGCCACTGCACTCCAGCCTGGACGACAGAGTGAGACTCTGTCTCAAAAAAAAAATGTTTAAACCTAAAATACCTTGCAACTGCTAACACAGGGCTAGAGAATATAGCAAGGTAATAGTCTGTCCAGTAAATTCTTCTGAAATTTCTTTTTTTTTTTTTTTTTTTTGAAACAGAGTCTCACTCTGTCACCCAGGCTGGAGTGCAGTGGCACAATCTCGGCTCAATACAACCTCCACCTCCCGGGTTCAAGCGATTCTCCTGCCTCAGCCTCCCAAGTAGCTGGGACTACAGGGGCGTGCCACCAGACCAGGCTAATTTTTGTATTTTTAGTAGAGACAGGATTTCACCATCTTGTCCAGGCTGGTCTCGAACTCCTGACCTCAGGTGATCTGCCTGCCTCAGCCTCCCAAAGTGCTGGGATTACAGGAGTGAGCCACTGCGCCCAGTCTTCTTCTGCAGTTTCAACAATCAACTGCAATTTGCCTTTCCTTCAGCACCGAAATTTTATTTTTCTTTCCTAATTATTTCAAATATGAACTTTGGTTCCAGGGAACTAGTATTTTCTTGATTTATAAATTGAGGGTGGCTGGGCATGGTGGCTCATGCCTGTAATCCCAGCACTTTAGGAGGCCAAGGCAGGCAGATCACTGGAGGTCAGGAGTTCAAGACAAGCCTTGCCAACATGATGAAACCCCGTCTCCACTATAGATGCAAAAATTAGCCAGCCGTGGTGGCGGGTGCGTATAGTCCCAGCTACTAAGGAGACTGAGGCATGAGAATCATTTGAACCCGGGAGGTGGAGGTTGTGGTGAGCCAAGATCATGCCACTGCACTCCAGCCTGGGTAACACAGGGAGACTCCATCTCCAAAAAAAAAAAAAAAAAAAAAAAAAACAATTGAGGGTCATCTCACAGATGATATAATAAATAATGATTTGTCTTTAGAAATTCACATTATTAACTTTTCTACTTTTAGATATCATGACTGCTGTGACTTGAAGGACTTATCTAAACAAAGCCTTAAAAAACTAGGGTGGGCAGTGAGTGAATGGGTTGGGGGAACCCACACAAAATCCCCAAGACACCTGGGAGCCCATGTCCCCGTGAGTAGGACTGCAGGCAGCTGTAGCAGACTGGATGGGAGAGGACAGCAGGCAGGAGAACTCAGGGTCTGGAGGCCATGGTTCTAAGGCCAGAGGAAATCATCGGCAAACTTAAATCCAGAGCTTGACAGGATGAAATTTGTGATTGTAAATGAATATTTGCCATTACCAAGTGAGATCGCCAGTGGTGGTAGGATGGTTAGCTGCTCCTCCAGGTGGGCCGCAGTGAGGACAGCGCAGCATCAGGCCAAGGTGTTCATACCAGGAAGCAGGCTCTGCACCTGTTTAGGAGGAAACACTGGGCAGACCCAGCTTGGAGTCATCTCGCTCTTTACATCTGTCAAGGCTGTGAAAACTGAGAGTCGCCTGGATGCGGTGGTTCACACCTGTAATCCCAGCACTCTGGGATGCTGAGGCGAGTGGATCACCTGAGGTCAGGAGTTAAAGACCAGCCTGGCCAACATGATGAAATCCCATCTCTACTAAAAATACAAAAAATTAGCCGGGCGTGGTGGTAGGTGCCTGTAATTACAGCTACTCCGGAAGCTGAGGCAGGAGAATCTCTTGGAACACGGGAGGCAGAGGTTGCAATGAGCCAAGATGGCACCACTGCACTCCAGCCTGGATGACAGAGCAAGTCTCCGTCTTAAAAAACAAAAACAAAACCAAAAACAAAAAACAGAAAACTGAGTCCCATGAACAGTTCCCGAAAAAGAAATTGGGCCAACATGGAAACAGACATTTTCTCCCAGCTAGCAATGAAGTGAAATTGGTCTGCAGACTGGACTTTCACATGGAAACCATGTATTTCCTAATTTGGGGGTTATGTGGGGATCACCTGGAGGACTGTTCCTGCTTTTGGTCAAACACAGGGAGGTATTCTTTGTGAAGCTGCAAACCCAAACCCTAACCCTGACCCGAACCCTAACCCTAAACCCGAACCCTAACCCTAACCCAAACCCTAACCCTAACCCTTAACCCTTAACCCTAACCTTAACCCTTAACCCTTAACCCTTAACCCTAACCCTAACCCACAGTTAGGGTGATTGTGGTGGACAATCAGGTATTTTTTTTTTGGAAACTGTCCCCCATTTTTCCCTGCCCATTATGGGCACTCTGGGATAAATCCTGGGGATCCCTAAGGGCCCTAGCAATGGAAAATGCTCTGCTGAACCATCGGACCTGGGAAGCTTATTAACATCTTCCACCTATGAGCCCTCAGCTCTAAATGAATGCACTAATACCCCATATACTTCAAGGGATTTGTATGTATGTGTCAGATGAATTTATGCATATGAGAGCACTTTGTAACCTTAAAACTCTTGGAGAAACGGAAGAAGTTACGACTCTAACTCCCCTCCTTTTCTATTCTAGTGGAAAAGGGCTATGTCACAATTCCCTCACCCCAGTCCCACTCCCCTCAGGCACATAAACCCAAATAAACACAATCTAAGCAACTGCAATGTGCTTGCTGCATAAATGCAGTCTTAATACAAATCCCACCTAATTACCACTGAACACCTGTGCTATATAGAACTTGAGTCATTACAGCCTTTGCTGCCCTGAACATTGAAGGTTCTACAACCTCCAGTCTGTTCTCTGTAAATCTTTTCTTTCCAGAGGCATACCCATGGGGAACTTGAGAACACACGTGGCTTCAGTTACTAGTTTTGGATACAGAACAACTAAAATGAAGCAGCTGAAAGCTCCAAACACACTCACTGTCCAGGCTGAAAGAATGCTCCATGGCTGACAGGACCACTCTGCCATCCCTAACCCACAGCTTCCTGCCCAGGGCCAAGGATCCACTGCTTGCCAATCCTAGGCCAACAGGCAGTGGCAAGGTGGGGTGGTGGGTAACGGGTAGATCATCATTTCCACTTAGGTTCATTGGCCAGAGCTTGCTTGGGTGGTAACACCTAGCTGTAAGGGAGGCTGTGAAATGGACCTTGCTAAAATTGAGGAAGATGGAGATATTCCATTTCTAAAAAGGGGAAAAATGGGTATCAGTGTAGGGTCCAGTCCCACTGAGTCAGTGGGTTTTTCTCCTTGTGTGCGGAGACGAGAGATTGTAGAAATAAAGACACAAGACAAAGAGATAAAAGAAAAGACAGTTGGGCCTGGGGGACCACTACCATCAAGACACGGAGACTGGCAGTGGCCCCAAATGCCAGGTTGCACTGATATTTATTGGATACCAGACAAAGGGGCAGGGTAAGGAGTGAGAGCCATCTCCAATGATAGGTAAGGTCACATGGGTCACGTGTCCACTGGACAGAGGGCCCTTCCCTGCCTGGCAGCCGAGACAGAGAGAAAGATAGGAGAGAGAGGGAGACAGCTTACACTATTATTTCTGCATATCACAGACTTTTAGTACTTTCACTAATTTGCTACTGCTATCTAAAAGGCAGAGCCAGGTGTACAGGATGGAACATGAAAGCGGACTAGGAGTGTGGCCGCTGAAGCACAGCATCACAGGGAGACGGTTAGGCCTCCGGATAACTGCAGGTGGGCCTGACCTCCACAAGAGGTGAAGGAGTGGAGTCCTCTCTGAACTCCTCCAGGGAAAGGGAGACTCCCTTTCCCGGTCTGCTAAGTAGCGGGTGTTTTTCCTTGACATTGACGCTACCGCTAGACCACAGTCCACTTGGCAACGGGCATCTTCCCAGACGCTGGCATTACTGCTAGACCAAGGCGCCCTCTGGTGGCCCTACCCAGGCATTACAGAAGGCTCGCATTCTTGTCTTCTGGTTACTTCTTACTATGTCCCCTCAGCTCCCGTCTCTGTATGGCCTGGTTTTTCCTAGGTTATAATTGTAGAGCGAGGATTATTATACTATTGGAATAAAGAGTAATTGCTACAAAGTAATGATTAATGATATTCATATATAATCATGTCTATTATCTATATCTATTATAACTATTCTTATTTTATATATTTTATTAGACTGGAATAGCTCGTGCCCTCGATCTCTTGCCTTGACACCTGGGTGGCTTGTCACCCACATATCAGGGGAAAAGCATAGTATCCAACATACCACTCTAATCAGGAAAGTTCTATTTGCAGGTGTCTCTGAACACTGCCTCCCTCAAGGTCTTGAGACAGGCCCAGGAGAGCTGGACCCAGATCAATCCCCATCCTGCACCTCACAGTGAGTGGCATAGAGAAGCCTTCGATAGACTTTGTGAATACCTCCTACAGGTAAAGGCCCTTCATCCACAGAGGTCCCCACTACCCACATCTGCCGACCCTATCTCACACGAGGCGCCAGCCAGCCAGAGCAAGTTCCTGCTTTCCTACTCATGTCTCACTAATTTCAAAGGGGGCCAGGTCCGATGCCCACGCCCCACCCTCCACCCCCCTGCTCTGCACTCACATAACCTCCTTCAAAAGACCCTTCAGACCTGGTTACCCCAGACAGTGACCCTATCCTTCCAACAACCTCACATACGTGAAGGTATGCGGGGCAAACATCACCCAGTCATCAAACACACTCACAGAGCCCTCCTGTCCAGGGCACAGCTGGTGCTCTTGCTGCCTGGCGACCCCCATGCCTCTCCCTTCAGCTCCCACTCATGTTCTTCCCTCAGAGCATCACTCTCCTGAGACAGCTCGGTGACCTCACTGTGAGAGACAGTGCTGCCACTTCACAGGATGAGGGCCGAAGGAGGAGACAGGGTTTTAACAGCTGAGTGAGTAGTCAGCCAGCAAGTTTCTCCACACTTTTCTGAGCAGGACAGCAGGACACAACCAATACCTGGGGCAGAGGTTAGACCATGCCCACAGGGAGGCCACACCCACAGAAGACAGACCACGCCCACAGAGAGGCCACATCCACGGCGAGGCCACGCCCATAGACACGCCCCTATCTCCATCCCCACCCCTACCCCACCCCAAGTGGGGCTATCAGTCACATCAAGGAGGGGTGCCTGGGTTCCCCCATTCCTGCTAGTGGGAGTACAGCTTAGAACAATGTTTTTGAAGGCAATTCAGTGGTACTTTCAGAAATCAATGTGCCTTCTTTGTGATCCACTAATGCCACTTATAGGGGTTTATTCTATGGAAACAAAGAGGGATGTCTATAAAGATTCTGAGAAATACAAAAGTAAGAAACCTGGATGAATATCCCTTAAAAAGAAAAATCAGGGATACAGAGATTAAATGCTAAACCTCTGTCCTCAAGTTGCCATCCGGTAGAGAAGACAAAAAGTAAGCCAAGTCCCCCTCCGCAGTGTGAGAATGCAATGGTAGAGGCACACAGAGAGGAGCAGTCCTTGGATGGAAGCCCCAGGCCTGCCAGAGGAGGAGGAGTTAGCTGGGCAGAAAAGGGGACCAGAGGTCCAGCCAAAGTAGCTGCCTGCTCAAAGACGGGCCCTTGAGACGACCACACACAGAAAGGCTCACGGGTCACTGGAAGGATTGGGGCCAGGCTGCAGACAGGAACAGGCAAGTGCAGGGCTTCACAGACCACAGGGGACCAGCAGCCCTGACACATCCCTGGAAGAGAGGGTCCACCCAAGGGACTGGGTGACCACTGGGCTGCCTGAGGTGGGACTGGAGACAGGCAGTCCAGCAGGAAGACCGTCCGGAACGACCTTTCCTGGTGGAGGTGACTGCGCGATGATGTTTATGAAGGTGGAGACAGACGCTTCCCGAGAAGCTTGGGGAGACAGGAGCAAGGTCAGAAGCGATGAGCTCCGTCTGCATTGCACACATTGAGTCTCGGTGACCAGTGACCCAAAGAGTGCTTGAGACCATGTCTGAGAATCTGTGGATATGTGTAGGCAGAAAGGGAAGAAGAGGACCTGGAATTCTAGGACTTTGTCACCCCTGGAGGCCACAGGGATGTTAGTGTTTAGCAGGGAGTGAAAGTCCAGGCAGTTACTCTTGGCAGTAAAGTTGGGAGATCCAAATCAACAACCAGAAGATATCAGAAGGGCATGCAGAGGTGCAGAGACTGGGACATGAACCAGAAGACTGAGAGACTGGATCAAGGTCATCTGAGGGAGCCCAGAGGGTTTCCCAGTTTGTCCTTGGGCCGGGTAGCATTATTTGGGGTTTCTGTGGGATGCTCTAGAACAATTACATTTGGCACGTTTTGAGGACAGAGGAGACTACATATCAAGCTGGGTACTGTCTGAATCCAAACCCTTGTCTTCCTTTGGGGATAAGGATGGCTCCAGAAAGTTGCTTGTTCACTGCCTTCTGTGTGATGCTGTTGGTTTTACAACTTGAGTGATCAAGCAGCAGATTCTGGGACAATTTCCCCACAGATCTAAGAATAAGGAGTTGATGCATATCCTTTTAGAGTGAATGAACTCTTCACGCCTGGCTTCGGGATTCTTGCTTTGGCTAGGACCCCAAGGCTAGAAGACATGAGTACTTCCTTAATGTTTGTATTGCCAGGGCCCAGCACAGGCCAGCACCATGGCAGAATTTGATGAATCAGAGACATTATCTTGGAGATGAACATAAACTGGGCCACCAAGAAACCATGTTGAAATAAACAAGAGGAAAAGCATGCATTTTCTTCTCGTAGGAAATCCAGCAGGGCCTGCAACTACTTCGAACCTCTGAAATGCTTTGGGAGTGTGCACCAGGAGATGAATCATGCTGATGAATGGATGCTGTGTGGCTGAAAACTGACCACGCTTTTCTGCCATAAAATCACATTCTGATATATTCACCAAGTCAGTGAAAAGCTTTATGGATTGACTCTTTTTAAAACAGATCCTGAGACTCTAATCTATGCTTAGTGTAATAGTTGGAACAAAGACTGTGCTTCACATTCTAGGTGCTTTTATTTGTATTTTGAAAAAGTGTCCCAGAGTTTTAATGCAAAGTCAGAGATAGCTGGGTAAGGTTTCCTGCCTTTTGTCTTCCACTTTGGGATGGACATGCAGGTCACACTGCAAGCTGGTTGAGGAGGGAGCCCTTTGTACCAATCTAGGGGGCGCAACCAGGGTCACTTTGTAGGATGTGGGCAGATGCGAGCAATGACATCCATATGGCTCTGGAATGCAGGGAATTCATTCTGTTCTGCCTCACAGTGCCATCTGCTGAAAGAGCTACTGGAAAGTCAGTTTAGGCATGAAGCTTCCATTGAGAGTCAAGATATTACTTCATCAAAAAGGCAGAAGAGACCAGGCACGGTGGCTCACACCTGTAATCCCAGCACTTTGGGAGGCCGAGGTGAGTGGATCACCTGAGGTCAGGGGTTTGAGATCAGCCTGGACAACATGGTGAAACCCTGTCTCTACTAAAAATACAAAATTAGCCGGGCATGGTGGTGCATGCCTATAGTCCTAGCTATTTGGGAGGCTGAGGCAGGAGAATCGCTTGAACTCGGAAGGCGGAGGTTGCAGTGGGCCAAGATCGCACCATTGCACCCCAGCCTGGGCAATAAGAATGAAACCCCATCTCAAAAAATGAAAGAGAAAAAAAGGCAGAAGAGGCCTCTTTGAGCAGGGGAAGAGTAAAGGGTAAAAAGAAGGGATGCCTTTAGATGAGAATCAGGTGATGATGAGGCATAACTACTCTGCCATTTCCTTATTTCAATCAAATATCAGTTCTTCTCCTGCCTCATCCGAAAATATATTAGAATGCATTGCAAATGCAACAGCCTGCTGGTTCAAATGTTACAGTGATGCTTTCCTATTACCCAACAGAATTATCTTAGAGAATGTTTTCTTAGGACATACGTATCAGTAACAAATGTTCAATCATAAAAGAGCCTGCCCTCATTTTTTTCTTCAACAGGGTCTTGCTCTGCTATGCCCTGGGGTGCAGCAGCATAATCACAGTTCACCACACACTCGACGTTCCAGTCTCAAGTAATCCTCCCACCTCGGCCTCCCCAGTCTCCAACTCCTGGGCTCAAACAATCTGCCCCTCTCGGCCTTCCAAAGTGCTAGGATTACAGGCGTGAGCCACTGCACCCGGTCAAGGAGTACATTTTACTGGGTCCACAACATACTTCCTTTTTGCTCCTGATGGCTCAGTTATTAGATGGGTTCTTAGAAGCCGTGATTTGAGGAAGATTTAACCCCCTACCCATTCCTATTTTCTCTCTCATTTTCTGTCCGAAAACAGTCAGCTCCTTAGAGGCTCCCATGACCCCCTGGTTGTGTGAAAAGGCAGGCTATCAGGCCAGGATCTGTGGAGTCTTTTCTCTTTCTCTCTCTCTCTCCTTTTGTTTTCTTTCTCTCTCTTTCTTCTTTTCCTTTTCCTCCCTCCCTTCCTTCTTTTTGTCTAGATGAGGTCTCTCTCTGTCACCCAGGCTGGAGTGCAGTAGCACAATCATAGCCCACTGCAGCCTCAACCTCCTGGGCTCAAGCGATTCTCCCACCTTGGCCAGCTAATTTTTTTATTTTTTGGAGAGACAGAGTTTCACCAGTTGCCTAGGCTAGTCTCAAACTCCTGGCCTCAAGCAATCCTCCAGCCTCAGCCTCCCAATGTGTTGGGTTTACAGGTGTGAGCCACTGTGTCTGGCAGGAGAGGGCTTTTGTTTTTTCCAATCTTGCTGTTGTGTAAAAGCCTTTCCAGCTGAAGGCTCAGATAATTTTTTTTTTTTTCTATACCCGACTCAACTAAGAGCTCAAAGCCCTAGCGAATCCAGTTCAAGTCTCAGCTGGAAACTCAGGCTCCACATGCAACCGCAAGCTTTCCCACCCTTTTCTCCTGCTTTTGCCTGAAGATCGTGCCAATCAAGAACTGTGGAGCAACAGATGATTAAGATAAAGAAGCAGCACCTCTCACACTTCAGTGTGGACATGAATCACCTGGGGATCTTGTTTAAGCGCAGATTCTGATTCAGTGGGTCTGGGGTGGGGTGTTGCTGACAAGTGCCAGGTGTTGCAGATTTTGGGCCTTACACCACACTCTGAGCCAGAGGCATTGACGAAATGATCTCACTGTCATCAACCCGGTCCAGAAGCCAAGTCTAGGGCTGCTTGAAATTCTGTAGCCTTCCAGCCTTTCCTTTAAAAGGTGTCTTCCCACTCCAAAGCCCCGAGCTTGCTGGGCGGACCCCACCCCCACCTTCGTTCCCTATAATGCTGTTCATTTCTCCACACAGTCCTTTGTCCCTCCATTTCTTAAAATGTGTCAGTTGGAGTTTCTCCCTCAGGATATTACTGAGCCTCTTCTAAACACAAAACAAAGTTGCCCACTACAGTGGGCAACTTGCAGTCAGCACTGAGCCTGTGACTTTTCCCAAGTCCAAAGATTTGCATTCAGTTTAGGAAATTTCCCTTGAAAGAATGTCAGCACCTCTGTCCACAGTCTGCTTGCCAAGTGTGTGTCTCTTGGCATTTTTTCTTTGCTTGCTTATTTGCTGCACACGTGCCTTGTTTTGGAACTCTGTTTACATATCCAGTCCTCTGGTCAGCCTAGCATTTCTCTAAAGGGCAGTAATTATAACTCAGTGCCTTTGTAATGGTTCTCACTGGCACTAAGTCCCAGCATGCAACAGGGTAAAACTTAGCAAAACTAAAGGAAAATCAGATTTCTACGGAAGTAATTTGTATTAAAGGCTTTAGAGGTGTGTACTTTGTGGCCTAGTAGTTCTAATTTTAGAAGTCAATTTAAAACATCAAATATAAGCAAATTTTAAAAACACAGTATGATATAAAAGCCAAACATTGGAAACATCTTAAATACCCAACAATAATGAAATGATTATAAATTATGTCTATATTCATATAAGCACCTTTTAGAAAACATCTTCCCTAAGAACATTTGATAAAACTGTTCTGGCCAAGTGTAGTGACTCACATCTGGGAGGCAGAGGGGGGAGAATTGCTTGAGGCCAGGAGTTTGAGACAAGCCTGGACAACATAGAGACCCCCGTCTTTACAAAAACAAAAATAAAAATAGAATTAGTCTGTGTGGTGGCACAAACCTGTGGTCCCAGCTACGCAAGAGGCTGAGGTGGAAGGGTTGCTTGAGCCAAGGAGTTTGGGGCTGCAGTGAGCTGTGGTTGTGGCATTGCACACTCCAGCATGGGTGACATAGCAAGATCCTGTTTTTAGAGGGAAACAAAGTTCATTATATAGCATAAGGCGAAAGGAGCAAGTTGTAAAACTAGATAAACAGCATAGTTACAATTCTGTAAAATATACAAACATATGTGCAGAAAACTAAGTGAAAATAAAATACACCAAAGGTTAATACAGTTGATTGCTGAGTAGCATGACTACAGGTAATTTTTACAGGTTTTTTCACTTTGCATTCTGCAGGTTTCTTTTGCAATGAATGTACGGTGAGATTTATAATTATATAGCTTATAAATTACAACAATTCATAGTATACTTTACAATGATTTTTTAAAAACTGTCTTGTCTTCTGAACTTCATCACAAATTCCTCAAGGGCAAGGACTGTTTCTTTGGTGTCAGCAAGCCCCTGTTTCAGAGGCCTCTTGATTGGTAAGTATTCATTGATGCCGCTAGTAATTGATTCTTTGTCTTAACAGGTTCTCTTTTTCCAGCTGCCTTAGAAAAAGTCTCCTTTCGTATCAGGCAGGTCTACAGTTGCTTCTGATCCTCTCCCTAGAGATAGGCTATCTGATAAAGCCCTCTAAGCCTTTATTTTTATTTTTTGAGACGGAGTATCGCTCTGTCTCCCAGGCTGGAGTGCAGTGACGCGATCTCGGCTCACTGCAGCCTCCGCCTCCCGAGTTCAAGCGATTCTCCTGTCTCAGCCTCCCCAGTAGCTGGGATTACAGGCACCCACCACCACACCCGGCTAATTTTGTATTTTTAGTAGAGATGGGGTTTCACAGTATTGGCCAGGCTGCTCTAAGCCTATTTGATAAAACCCTTCTCCCAGGCCATCAACAACTTGACAATTAGTAGTGACAGGTGATGCCTTTTGGGATCAGGTCTCTAGCGGTTCTCTTAGCATCCTTCTCTTGACTATCACCCAAAACAACGGCAAAAATCAGCCCCTATCCTAGGTTGCTCCGTGGAGGCCATCAAAACGAGACGCCCTGGCTGGCTGCGACGCTCCTTCCCCCAGGCTCTGGGATTGTGGAGAAGATAGCGCGCACCCACTGGCGATCCGCCGCGGAGCTGCAGCGTGGGGGCGTGGCGTGGCGCGGCCGGTCCTCCGAAGCGCGGGGCGGGGATATGGGCGGGTCCTCCGGGGCTCGGGGGCGGGGCGCGGGGAGGTGGGGCGGCGCGCGCCGGCGTCCCCCGCGCTCCTCCCGCGCGCGGCCCCTGGAGTCCCTGAGGCGCGCGGCCAGCCCAGCTCGGGCCCGCAGCACCGGTAGCAGCCCGGCGGCCAAGCGAGCGCGGGCCGGGGCTGGGGCCGGGGCCTGGGGGCGCCGCCCCCGGGAGTCTTTCTGCGGCCCCTGAGGAGCGAGGGCGACGGCGAGGCTGACCGGGGCCGAAACCATGAACCGGAGTTTTCACAAGTCTCAGACCTTGCGATTCTACGACTGCAGCGCGGTGGAAGTCAAGAGCAAGGTGAGCCCCCCGCCCGCGCCGGCGACCCTGCGCCCAGTCTCCCGGCTAATGAATGGGGCGCCCCGCGGAGGGGGACTGGGGCGGCGTGGAGGCGACAGGCGCCGGCGACAACTTTCGAGTTCGGGCGCCGCGCGCCGCTCCGCGGGACGCGCACTGGGGACCCCGGCCGTCCTTCCCGCCCCCCGCGCGGACACAAAGCCCGGCAGCCGCGGCGCTCAGAGGGCCGAGGGCCATCGGACAGTCCGTGCAGACTCTGGACCCGCTCCGCGGGAGCTGCTCTTTTGTTCCACGAGCGAGAGGCGATCGGGGCGCGCCACACATTGGAGGGGAGGGCGGCCTTTCCAGGGCGAATTGAGGGCCAGGGGCTGCTCGGATTCGGGGCCGTGGAGGGGCTCTGGGGCCCCGGACCGTGGGATGGCCCTGGCCAAGGCGCCTTCCAGGCTGCAAAGGAGGCTTGTTACCGGCCAGGAGGAGACTTGCCGCCGGCTCCGAGCCGGGCGTCCCCCGCCCGCTCGGTACCGAACATCCAGGCACCAGGCGCGCTCCCCGGCGCAGACCCAGAGCACGCACCGGGCTCTCCCCCTGCCCAGACCCAGACCACGCCTCCCCGGGCGCGTCCCCGGGCCAGACACCCCACCCCGCCCCCACCCCAGACTCCCCAAGCTCCGGACGTGCCCCCGCCCCAGACCCAGCCCACTCCCCGGGGCGCGCCCCCGGCTCAGACCCAGACCCCTCCCGAGCGCGCCCCCGGATCAGACCCAGACCCAGACCACCCCCACGGGCGTGCCCGGCCCCTCCCGCAGCCTGCGCCCGGGCGGAGCGTGCCTGAACTTGCGGGTCGCGGTGCGCGTCTGGGTAATTGGCTGATAGGATCTGGCGCTTCTGCCCTTTGCGGGGGCGGTTCCTTCGCCACAGATGCTGTTTGTGAGGGTCTCGTTGGTGGACCCCGCGGACTGAGGAGGAGCTGCAGTGGTTCGGGGTCCTGCGGGAGGGGGTCCCTCGAGTCTTTCGCTGGCTACTCTCTGGGAGTTGAGCGGCCCTTTCGCCCTTTCTTCGCACCCCGGTTTTCAGAGTTGTAGGAAAGGCTCCTAACGGCGGAGTGGAGCCCGCACCCCCAACTCTGTGCCTATCTTGGGCGCAGGGTGGGTGTTCCCTCCCCGGTCTCTGGGGAAGCAAGTCTAACAGCCTTCTCTCCCTGTGCTGCTCTGACGTTTGGTGTAGGATTTCCAGGGTGTCGGCAGAGGATTGAGGGGGTTGTCCCAGCAACAGCGTGGCCGCCTCTCCAGCCTGCTACAGTGATTTGCAGGATCCTTGTCTACTTAGGGGTACACGGTCTTTTAACGAATCCCTCATTTATCATAAGATCCTGTCCTTACCCTTGCCCCATGACCTCGGCCCCACACCCATCTTCTCTGGAGCACAGGAGTGCCCCCAACTCCCCCAAATCAAGTGTGCCAGCTGTGGGTTAGGTGAAGGGAAGAGCCCACAAGCATGGGTGGGAGGTTTCTTTAGCTCAGTGGGAACACGGCTGTCTGGAGCTGCACTATCTAGTACAGTAGCCAGTAAGCACGTGTGGTATGTTATCTTATTTAACTTTTTATTTTGAGGTTATTGTACATTCACAAGTAACTGTGAGAGAGGTCTATATTCTCAGCCTCTCAGCCTTTGCTCAGCCTCCCTGATGGTGACATCTCGTGTGACTAGCACACTGTCCTATCCTAGACCTTATCGGGTGTCAGCAGCGTTACACACTCACTCGTGTATGCCTAGGTCTGTGCGGTTGTGTGACCACCAACTCAATCAAGGTGCAGAACAGTTTCTCCCTTTCATCCTAGGATCCTTCCTATTGCCCTTCACAGCAGCTGTTTAACCAGGGAGGACTGATTGGTTAACATGAACGTTAAAGATTCAGTTCTGTGCTCATTGGCCCTCTGCAGAGGGTGGCTGCCTCCTCACACACACAGCTCCAGAGAATCAGAGGCCTCAACAAGGCCCAAGGTAGGTCTGGAGGACAGGCCCTCACCAGGCCTCATCCTGCAGTCCTGGGCTGCTGGCACTATAGAGGCTGCCTCTGCCTTCCCTGGGATGTCAGCCTGCCTGTCTCTGCTGGCTACACTTGGCAAAGAAGGGGTGCTGCCTCACACCCCAAGCATGGATTCAAGTTCAGATGCAGCAGATGCTTGTCTGGAGGTGAGTGGCAGAGCTAGAGTTTTGGTTGAACTTGGAAGGGCCACACTGACCTGGGCCTTACTGAACTTGCTGTTGTGCCCTCCCCACCATGATGGGGCTGAACTTACTTGTCCAGAGGGTCCCTGTGGCTCTTCCTTCTGTGCACGGCCTCCCACTTACCCACTTTATGGTTAATGTTTGTTACTATGGCATCTATCTCTATAGGGAGACGCTGTTGTCAAAATACAGCAAAGCCTTACGACAGCCTAAATGTAGCACCATAACACCATGGTTTGGTTTGTGGGGAAAATGGCGTCTGGGGAGCTAAGTCCAGCCTCACTTCTGCCACCTACTGCGTTTGTGAGCTTTTGGGCAAGTCATTTACCTTTTCCAAGCATCAGTTATGTCATCTGTAAAATGGGCATGATACCTTTTCTGCTTACTTCTCAAGATGAAATGCATTGAATACAAGAGCACTTTGAGTTAAATACTGCAGGTCAGAATTCTTTGGCATTTTAAGATATTGGGTCGGAAAACTGCCTTAGGTTCTCTCAGAATTTTTGCCATTAACCATTTGCCACAGATGGTCAGTCCCCAGTGCTTAGGGACAGGATCCTGGTGTGTGTGTGCAAGGGGGCATATGATCTTGATTTTGACTTGGTGGCTCTTCCCCATTTTGCAGCCCCTTATACTTCTCCAAACATTTTTACCTTAATTCTAGAGGTTCATCTGTTCCTCACCACACCAGCAGCAGTATGTACTTGCGATTGCCTAGTTCTGTTTGTGGGATCACCTTTTTTCCCACTTAGCTTTGACTTTTGCCTCTCCTTCCACAGGAGCTGCAGTGGGGGAGGGAGGAACTATGCAGATGTTTAGGGTGTTTCAGGTGGGGGAAAGCAAGAGTCCTTGGCCACCTTAGAATGTAGCAGAAAAGCCAGTGCTGGGATTGGAAGGGTTTTACAGGGGGCAGCAAACAGAGATGAATTTTCATATGAGGAGAAGACAGCAAGCACCACAGTGCCACTATGAACTTAGCAACGCCTTTAACTATATTAGTATTTTGTCCATTCCCATGTTGTCTGCGTAAGCTTGAAAAATCCAGAGAAACACAGCTTGTCCCCTCCCAGCAGTGTGCTCAGCCTAGAGCCCTGAGTTCCTTTGGACTCAAGCATAGATGGCCCACTGCTCATGGCCTTGGCCCATGCTTTCTTTGGCCTGCGTATCCCTAGTTTGTGGCTTCCCCTACCTGAAATGCTTTCTCTGAGAATCTGCCCTATCCTGAGGACCTTCTTAGACAGCTCCCTCTT